TCACATTCTCACAATGCCCAGTTAACCCCACAAAGTACTAACCCTTGTCAAATTGATTCTTGTCTTGATCCGCGGCACCTTGGGACACAAAAAGGGACACGCATAAGTCATGATATATACACAGCCATATTTCTGCTATACAGTCCAAAGGAATAGACAAGTTTTAACTACTTTTTTGGAAATGAATTTTTAATATCAACAGTAAAACTTGAAAATTACAATCAAGATTCAAATGAGAAAAATTATATATAGAAATATTCTTTGTAGGAAAACATGTTTTAGCATTTTGTCTAATAAATATCAGCCAAGTCCAAATATACAGGAATTTAAATGATCGCACAGGATTGAAGGCCATGACAAGGGAAACAACCCATAAGGGTATTTTAGGGACAAACATTTCAAAGGTTTGCCATCAAAAATTCTTTCTATGGCAACAAAAAAAAACGCAACGAAAAAAAATTCTTACCATTTTGTGGGAAAAAATCTTTTTATAACCCCACATAAAGAGTCCTAACTTCTGTCATAATGATCCGGCAAAAAATGTCGTGATGTATTTATTACAAAAGTAATAGATATATCAGGCCTAGATATAGACCTTTAGCTATATATAATATGATATTACTGATACATTGTGTATCCAGCAACATAAGTACAGTGATACTTGACTGGTGGTCTGGGAAGTGGTAACAATCGCCGCGCAACTCATCTTGCCCAGAGAGGTAGGGCTGAGTAATTACGGCAAACGTTTGTCCCAAACTTACCCTAGGGAGATACAATTAATAACACCAATTGAATTTTCTTAAAAATATTGTCAATTCATACTCTGAAAGAATGGTAGTTTTAACATTTTTAAAAATGTCCTGGTACATTAATTAATAAACTGCTCCCAAAGGATATCACAGACTTGACCTTCAATTTGGTGGTTCAAATTTATTTTTGAAAATTGCTCTTTAAATACATCTGTTGCTTGCAGACATAGAATAAAAAGCTTTGAAAAAAATGATCTTGTATAATTAGAGAAACTTGACCCTTGAATCTGGTCCGGCACATCAGTCAGTATTATGCAATGGTGCAGTATGTCCTTTCAAAGTGGGGCGTGTGTATCAGATTATGCTGGGTGGTTTAGTGTGGCAAAACTTTTTTTCTGTTATCATCGATGTCATCTTAAGTTCATCTTTGATCTATGCAGGTACCTGGGTCCTGTAAGATTTTCACCCATTTATTTTCCTAGTCGTCCCAAGATTTAATCTGACTGACAATATCGCGGTAATGTCTTTGTTCGGTATCTGCCTTGGACTGCGACGACAGCGATGTCGCATGTCTTCAAGTATAATCTCCCAATGACTGTTTTTTTGTTCCCCGTAGAGTTTCTCAAATTAAAACGAAAGATGAGCCGAGTTGTCTTTAAAGTACAAATTCTATGGCATTCTCCGGAGGTGTGGGTGATTATTTTTTTACGAGCATTAAACGATTAAGTGTAATTATAGCACTGTTTGTCTTGTGTAATGAGTGTCTTGTCTGGTAGATATTTATACGTTTATAGAACCATGCTGGTATTGCCGACAAATCTTAGATTGGTAAGATGAAGCATCGTTAAGGGGATTATTTATGATTAATGGTTCAATAAGACTACCCTTTACCTGTATGTCCGTAGACTTTTTTACTTCTCCATAGCGATGATTCCCAGAGATCAAGTCCTCTATATCAACTACACATGAGGTTTACTAATCCATAGAAATCAACAGATCTCTTTTTATTAATTGTTGTTATCAGATTTTTTTTCTCTGTATGGAGGTAGTCGGGCGATATTCTTAATTAATTTGTAATTAAAGAAGTAAAGTAATACAAGATAACATCAAAAAATTATCACTTCTTTTGAAGAATTCTATTTGCGTTTTTTGGATAATAGATTTTTAAATACTTGAGAATTCTGATTCATGTCGGATAGCGGGAAGTCCACTTCAGTAACTGTCCAGATAGGTAACGGGTAGTATAGGTATCGGGCTGTGACTAATGACTCCCCTAATAAACTGGTACAGGTAATCGGGGATGAAATATACCTCAATAGGTAACTTAATCAACTTATTCAGCCAGATAGATTTTTTGATGGTGGACTTTTCTACCATTATCATTAAGGAAACCCTAGACCATGGACTAATTAAAATGACCACGAGCATTGAAAAAGAAATTGTGGCATTTATTATGTTTTTTTGTTCTTTTCTTCATAGAAAAATAAAGGACACATGACTGTTTATCACTTTTATTTGTGAATACATGAAACCAGGCACTTATTTACATTGATTTGACCTTGGTGGTTATGAGGAAGTAAAATCAAAACATAAAGTTACCATAGTAACAGTAATTACCTATAAATTTACCATAGTAACAGTAATTACCCATAAATTTACCATAGTTACAGTACTTACCCATACAGTTACCATAGTTACATTACTTACCCATAAAATTACCATAGTTACAGTGCTTACCCATAAAGTTACCATAGTTACAGTACTTACCCATAGAGTTACCATAGTTACAGTACTTACCCATAAAGTTATCATAGTTACAGTACTTACCCATAAAATTACCATAGTTACAGTACTTACACATAAATTTACCATAGTTACAGTACTAACCCATAGAGTTACCATAGTTACAGTACTTACCCATAAATTTACCATAGTTACAGTACTTACCCATAAAGTTACCATAGTTACAGTACTAACCCATAAAGTTACCATAGTTACAGTACTTACCCATAAATTTACCATAGTTACAGTACTTACACATAAATTTAAAACAGTTACAGTACTAACCCATAGAGTTACCATAGTTACAGTACTTACCCATAAATTTACCATAGTTACATTACTTACACATAAATTTACCATAGTTACAGTACTTACCCATACATTTACCATAGCTACAGTACTTACCCATAAAGTTACCATAGCTACAGTACTTACCCATAAAGTTACCATAGTTACAGTACTTACCCATAGAGTTACTTTAGTTACAGTACTGACCTGTACCAGACAATTACCATAGCTAGAGTACTGACACAAAAAATTAAAACTACCAAAGTTACAGTTCTGACCCACAACAGTAAAATACTATAGTTCCACTTATTTTCTTTCAACTGTTTCTCCTAAAGAACCATAAGGCCAAGTGCCATTATATTTAGCATGTAATTTGCTGAGTTTAAAGCTATCACTTTTCGTCAAATATTTGAAATATATTGTCCGTAATTCACAGGGCCAAAATTATGTTATCTTTATGCAACATCTTCCAATGAACCATGAAACTTGTAATGATATTGGCCCGTGGCTAGCTGAGATGAAGGTCATCGTGTGTGTCCAAATAAATGACGTTAATCACATTAAAGGTCACCTGGGTCATATATGTTAAAACATTTCAAACAGCTTCTTCTAATGAACCATGAAACCAAACTTCATACTATTTGGTGTTCAGCTTGCCTTGGTCAAGGACTATTTTCAAGTAATATATGATTCTTAGGGTATCGGGGACCAAATTAAATAATATTCATACCAACTTTTTCTTATGAACCATGAGGCCTAGAGTTATGATGTTTGGCCTGTAGATTTCTGTGATAAAGTGCTGTTAAGAAGTTTAAACAACAACATTGGCCCACATTCAAATGTGTTAAAAACCTAAAAACCATAAAGCCATGATGTTTGGCATAAAGTTGTCAGGGTTAAAGGTTGTCTAGTTTGTAGACACAATTGTCTTTACTTACATGGAAGATCATAATAGTCAATTGTGAAACATGAAAAATTAATAAAATTGTTATGAAATAAGAGGCCTAGGGTTTTAAGTTTTAAAAAAAGACGACGATTACAGCTTGCATTTAAGGTCATGAGAGTCAAGCTTTGGTACAGCAGGTATCAGTGATGGAGCCACCATGTTCCTCTTGTTTTATTTACGGTGACCAAGTGGTTAAGGCGTCTGACATTCTTCTACCACTAGCTCTCCACCACTGGGGTGCGGGTCGAGACCTACGTGGGGCAGTCACCAGGTACTGGCCGCAGGTCGGTGGTTTTTCTCCGGGTACTCCGACTTTCCTCCGCCACCAAAACCTGGCACGTCCTTAGTCTAGATGACCGTAGCTGTTAATAAGACGTAAAACACAAACAAACTAAAAGTTTTATTTACACTGCATAGACTCGCTGAATTAATTATGATAAGGATTTCTCCGACGTATCAGATGAAGGCCAATACATACACCAGTACATCTATCATCGTGATTTGTGTAGAAAGTTGTATCCTTTGTCTAGATTTGGTCATGGTAAAGCAAGTTAGGTACTCTAACTAGGGTGTTAAATCATTATTAATACGCAGTTGAAAGATGTACCCTACCCTACTAAATACTGCATATTATGATAATTATATGTCTGTAACAGGGAGCCAAGCGACACTGTTACTTGTGATCTCCTGTCTGAAGTACTCTACAAGGGAGTACAGTTCTTAAGCTGTTTGTAACCAGAACCTGGGGTGACATGTGGTAATGAAAAATTAAGAAGCAACAATCATTAGCGTATTATATATTAGACCTACAGTTGCTTCGCAAAATTAATATACGGGGATAATAATATCTGTATGATCTCCCTGTAAAGGCACTATTACTTGTGATCTGAAGGCCGTCACACAGGCCTTTTAACTTAATACACATATAGATGTAACCCAAACGCTTGGCGATACGGTAATGCCTGTTTAGCACGTTTCTTGGCTTTGTGTTTGCGGGGTGGTTGTGGCCTATGACTTATGGCCGGTCTGATATGTTATCTGGGGTATATTGTCTTGCGGAGGTAACTGAGACAGTCCCCCTTGGCAGTATATACCAGTGTATACCGTCCAGTACCTGTGAAAATGTCAGGCGCCTTTTCAGCGGAAATTGCCTGTAGAAAACAAGCTTTGTTCGGAGGTGTAGAAGCAGTGAGTCGTGAACGTAATCGTATTGAAATATATTTTTTTCTTTACAGACGTACCAAAGGATCAAGTGTAATCGGCAGGCCCGGCTTACTAGTAAGTTGTCAGTGTGTTCATTTACATCAGAATCGTGTGCTCAGAAGACTGTCTGAATTTTGTCACTACAGGGGCTGATGCACTCCGGGAATTTTGATTGAGGCCCGCGATAAAAACAAGCGGATGCCTCCGGGTGTTACTGATTCCATACTGGTGTCGAGGAAACATAGACAAATTACTACGGTTACAAAAGAACCAACAAGATGTGCGGTCTAGATTGTGTCAAATAAATAATTAACGCTGAAATATCATATGTACTTGGGCCATTTTTTCCCTTTGGGTCTTACCTTTTATTTCAGGTCATTTAATCTAAAAGAAAAACACATTTAAACTTTACATCAATTGTAATTGATTATGATTAGTTTTTGCAGGCAATGCACCTCCCATTTAAACTTTAGAAAAAATTCAAACTGTGATGTCGCGGAGTGACTTAATTATAGCTAGTGCCTACCTGTGGTTTTTGTCAAAATGTCATAACAATTCAACACAAATGCATTTATATTTTCACCAAATGACAGAATTCATCAATAACAAAAAACACTTCATATAATCAAAGCTAATAAGATGTTTGCAGGCTGCATGAGCTACCCAAAAGATCTCTGATAGTGTAAACTGGGTGCTGGTGAAGTACTACAGCATGGCTAACCCAACATCTCTGATAGCCTACACACATCTGATACAACTCTACAGCATGGCTAACCCAACATCTTTCTGTTAGCCTACATGTACACACATCTGTGATACAACTCTACAGCATGGCTAACCCAACATCTCTCTGATAGCCTTCACACATTTGTGATATAACTCTACAGCATGGCTAACCCAACATCTCTCTGGTAGCCTACACACATTTGTGATACAACTCTACAGCATGGCTAACCCAACATCTCTCTGGTAGCCTACACACATCTGTGATACAACTCTACAGCATGGCTAACCCAACATCTCTCTGGTAGCCTACACACATCTGTGATACAACTCTACAGCATGGCTAACCCAACATCTCTCTGGTAGCCTACACACATCTGTGATACAACTCTACAGCATGGCTAACCCAACATCTCTCTGGTAGCCTACACACATCTGTGATACAACTCTACAGCATGGCTAACCCAACATCTCTCTGGTAGCCTACACACATCTGTGATACAACTCTACAGCATGGCTAACCCAACATCTCTCTGGTAGCCTACACACATCTGTGATACAACTCTACAGCATGGCTAACCCAACATCTCTCTGGTAGCCTACACACATCTGTGATACAACTCTACAGCATGGCTAACCCAACATCTCTCTGGTAGCCTACACACATCTGTGATACAACTCTACAGCATGGCTAACCCAACATCTCTCTGGTAGCCTACACACATCTGTGATACAACTCTACAGCATGGCTAACCCAACATCTCTCTGGTAGCCTACACACATCTGTGATACAACTCTACAGCATGGCTAACCCAACATCTCTCTGGTAGCCTACACACATCTGTGATACAACTCTACAGCATGGCTAACCCAACATCTCTCTGGTAGCCTACACACATCTGTGATACAACTCTACAGCATGGCTAACCCAACATCTCTCTGGTAGCCTACACACATCTGTGATACAACTCTACAGCATGGCTAACCCAACATCTCTCTGGTAGCCTACACACATCTGTGATACAACTCTACAGCATGGCTAACCCAACATCTCTCTGGTAGCCTACACACATCTGTGATACAACTCTACAGCATGGCTAACCCAACATCTCTCTGGTAGCCTACACACATCTGTGATACAACTCTACAGCATGGCTAACCCAACATCTCTCTGGTAGCCTACACACATCTGTGATACAACTCTACAGCATGGCTAACCCAACATCTCTCTGGTAGCCTACACACATCTGTGATACAACTCTACAGCATGGCTAACCCAACATCTCTCTGGTAGCCTACACACATCTGTGATACAACTCTACAGCATGGCTAACCCAACATCTCTCTGGTAGCCTACACACATCTGTGATACAACTCTACAGCATGGCTAACCCAACATCTCTCTGGTAGCCTACACACATCTGTGATACAACTCTACAGCATGGCTAACCCAACATCTCTCTGGTAGCCTACACACATCTGTGATACAACTCTACAGCATGGCTAACCCAACATCTCTCTGGTAGCCTACACACATCTGTGATACAACTCTACAGCATGGCTAACCCAACATCTCTCTGGTAGCCTACACACATCTGTGATACAACTCTACAGCATGGCTAACCCAACATCTCTCTGGTAGCCTACACACATCTGTGATACAACTCTACAGCATGGCTAACCCAACATCTCTCTGGTAGCCTACACACATCTGTGATACAACTCTACAGCATGGCTAACCCAACATCTCTCTGGTAGCCTACACACATCTGTGATACAACTCTACAGCATGGCTAACCCAACATCTCTCTGGTAGCCTACACACATCTGTGATACAACTCTACAGCATGGCTAACCCAACATCTCTCTGGTAGCCTACACACATCTGTGATACAACTCTACAGCATGGCTAACCCAACATCTCTCTGGTAGCCTACACACATCTGTGATACAACTCTACAGCATGGCTAACCCAACATCTCTCTGGTAGCCTACACACATCTGTGATACAACTCTACAGCATGGCTAACCCAACATCTCTCTGGTAGCCTACACACATCTGTGATACAACTCTACAGCATGGCTAACCCAACATCTCTCTGGTAGCCTACACACATCTGTGATACAACTCTACAGCATGGCTAACCCAACATCTCTCTGGTAGCCTACACACATCTGTGATACAACTCTACAGCATGGCTAACCCAACATCTCTCTGGTAGCCTACACACATCTGTGATACAACTCTACAGCATGGCTAACCCAACATCTCTCTGGTAGCCTACACACATCTGTGATACAACTCTACAGCATGGCTAACCCAACATCTCTCTGGTAGCCTACACACATCTGTGATACAACTCTACAGCATGGCTAACCCAACATCTCTCTGGTAGCCTACACACATCTGTGATACAACTCTACAGCATGGCTAACCCAACATCTCTCTGGTAGCCTACACACATCTGTGATACAACTCTACAGCATGGCTAACCCAACATCTCTCTGGTAGCCTACACACATCTGTGATACAACTCTACAGCATGGCTAACCCAACATCTCTCTGGTAGCCTACACACATCTGTGATACAACTCTACAGCATGGCTAACCCAACATCTCTCTGGTAGCCTACACACATCTGTGATACAACTCTACAGCATGGCTAACCCAACATCTCTCTGGTAGCCTACACACATCTGTGATACAACTCTACAGCATGGCTAACCCAACATCTCTCTGGTAGCCTACACACATCTGTGATACAACTCTACAGCATGGCTAACCCAACATCTCTCTGGTAGCCTACACACATCTGTGATACAACTCTACAGCATGGCTAACCCAACATCTCTCTGGTAGCCTACACACATCTGTGATACAACTCTACAGCATGGCTAACCCAACATCTCTCTGGTAGCCTACACACATCTGTGATACAACTCTACAGCATGGCTAACCCAACATCTCTCTGATAGCCTACACACATCTGTGATACAACTCTACAGCATGGCTAACCCAACATCTCTCTGGTAGCCTACACACATCTGTGATACAACTCTACAGCATGGCTAACCCAACATCTCTCTGGTAGCCTACACACATCTGTGATACAACTCTACAGCATGGCTAACCCAACATCTCTCTGGTAGCCTACACACATCTGTGATACAACTCTACAGCATGGCTAACCCAACATCTCTCTGGTAGCCTACACACATCTGTGATACAACTCTACAGCATGGCTAACCCAACATCTCTCTGGTAGCCTACACACATCTGTGATACAACTCTACAGCATGGCTAACCCAACATCTCTCTGGTAGCCTACACACATCTGTGATACAACTCTACAGCATGGCTAACCCAACATCTCTCTGGTAGCCTACACACATCTGTGATACAACTCTACAGCATGGCTAACCCAACATCTCTCTGGTAGCCTACACACATCTGTGATACAACTCTACAGCATGGCTAACCCAACATCTCTCTGGTAGCCTACACACATCTGTGATACAACTCTACAGCATGGCTAACCCAACATCTCTCTGGTAGCCTACACACATCTGTGATACAACTCTACAGCATGGCTAACCCAACATCTCTCTGGTAGCCTACACACATCTGTGATACAACTCTACAGCATGGCTAACCCAACATCTCTCTGGTAGCCTACACACATCTGTGATACAACTCTACAGCATGGCTAACCCAACATCTCTCTGGTAGCCTACACACATCTGTGATACAACTCTACAGCATGGCTAACCCAACATCTCTCTGGTAGCCTACACACATCTGTGATACAACTCTACAGCATGGCTAACCCAACATCTCTCTGGTAGCCTACACACATCTGTGATACAACTCTACAGCATGGCTAACCCAACATCTCTCTGATAGCCTACACACATCTGTGATACAACTCTACAGCATGGCTAACCCAACATCTCTCTGGTAGCCTACACACATCTGTGATACAACTCTACAGCATGGCTAACCCAACATCTCTCTGGTAGCCTACACACATCTGTGATACAACTCTACAGCATGGCTAACCCAACATCTCTCTGGTAGCCTACACACATCTGTGATACAACTCTACAGCATGGCTAACCCAACATCTCTCTGGTAGCCTACACACATCTGTGATACAACTCTACAGCATGGCTAACCCAACATCTCTCTGGTAGCCTACACACATCTGTGATACAACTCTACAGCATGGCTAACCCAACATCTCTCTGGTAGCCTACACACATCTGTGATACAACTCTACAGCATGGCTAACCCAACATCTCTCTGGTAGCCTACACACATCTGTGATACAACTCTACAGCATGGCTAACCC